TAATGTGTTTGCCTGAGCTGTGTTATGCTATGACTTCTCATAGGTGGAATATACACTGCTTCTTGGGGTGTTTTGGGGTTTGAAACATGCCTCCTGTTGAATTAATTGTTTATTTGCTTGGTACAGTATAGCTATGTTATCTTTTTCTGTGACCTTCACAATAGATTTGTCTTTAGAGGTCTTTGCTGTCAACACTGGATTTCTCTGTGCAAAGGCCTTGATAGTGGTTTTCTGCCTCCCTCCCCCTTCTTATCCTCATTTTTTACCCTCAGCAATTGGCGTGTAGCAACTGAGCGGCTATTTCTAAAACAATTCGTAAGCAACTGCTTGCTATGTGGGGTATGATTCCAATGTGCAACTGCTGTACATCAGGCAGGTTATGTGAGCAAGTATAATATCTTGCCTGATATATCTGGGATTGAGTTAGCCTTTGCAACACGCTTGCAGTTTGTAGTCCATCCTCTGGATGCTATGACTGCTCTTTCTGCTGCCTGTCACCTGGTGGCATCAGCCATAGAGGAGGCAGCGCTCCTGTAAATTGTTAAGGGCATAGCCTTGTCTTGCCCTCTGTATCTCATTCTAGTTCTAGGTTTTCACATCCAGGAATATGATTTTCTTCTAGATCTTCTATAAGGTGTTACGATTTTTTTTTTTGGCTTGAAGAGTCTCTTATAATAACGAAACACTGATTTGTTTACTCCTGTTTTCCTCTGCCATTGGGAATGCTGGATGTGATCACTGGGAGGAATGGTCCGTAAGTAACTCTACTGCAGTTTTCAGTTCTAGTCTGAAAATCAGGATGGGAAAGAATAAGGATCATAATATCTTTTTGGTATTTTCATCGGAACCTCCCAGGGCATTGAAGATCTGGGTGGCAAGGGTTGAAACATAATCTGGTATCATATAAAGCTATAACATGGTAATTTGGTAATGCTCAATAATTTTGGTATAGCTTGACTTTTACATATATCTCAAATTATAATACTGTTGTGGGATCTGCAAATTGCTTGCTGCTGATTCCTAGCAGTGTCTGTATTTAGTTTGGATTTAAAATGAAAGTTAAGCTAATCAATTGCTTTTACTGTAGCCAGTTATGAACCAGCTTGCTCCTGTTTTAGCCTTTGTAGTGAGTGAGCTGTATACATCTGTTTCTGTGCCTTTCAATTTTCCTAGGGTCTTTCTAGATTACAATGAAATACAGATGAAGAGGACAAAAGGGAGTTAATCTCAATACAGTTCACTTGTTAATTCTTGTTAAGCGTTCTCTCTCTCCAAAGCTGAATTGTTTGTTCTTGGCAGTGGGGCATGATAATGCTTCTTTATTGACTCCTCTGATACACAGCCAGTCTCATGCAATTTTACTGCAGTTCACAAAAGAAAATGCGAATATAGTGATGCTTGATTATGTATACTCAAAAATACTTTGAATTAGCTATTGAGAATTTGTGGCTGGTCTTAGATGTCAATTTTGTGCTGTTGAACTGTAGTGTATTGGAATTGTGATGATGAGAATCAGTTAATTCCATTTTACAAACTCAAATATATGGAGGTATTCAGAAATAACAAATTGAATAGCGTTTGATTTTTATATACTTATTTGTACTCTTCTGAAAGTATATTCAGGAGGTGAATCTTGAGATTTAGGTTTTAAACTTTTCTTAATTAAAGTATTTCCCATTGCTTTTTTAAAACCCACCTATATTTCCTCTTTCTGAGATATACACATGTATATTTAATATTGTAATATATTCATTCTAGAATTAATGGTAATTAAGCATTAATTATCCATCAAACTTTTGATTTCTCCAACTCATTGGGTTTGTTCAGCATGTCATTCATAGTGACTGATGATTCCAGCCTCCTTACTGTTAGGAATGCAGATTAAAAATGCAAGGTGGAACAAATGGATAAGATGAATGAGTGAAAAACTATAGGCAGGATGTGGATTCAGTGGTCAGTTAGCTATCACTTTAAGTATAGTTGTCTTTAAAAGCAGTGACTGACTCTTGCTTTTTGTAAGAGTAAACAGGAGTGATAAAGGCCAAACAGACCCTTGCCTACGGCCAGGGTGTGTTTGGAGTCATGGTCAGGTCTGTATAATGGTCTAGTCCAGATGAAGTTATTTCCCTAGCGTTTGCTTGTAAACCTCTCCTCTTAGAACAGAGTTTAATTGTGGTCTTTGGCTTGAGGATTCACAGAGTCCCCTAATACCTTAACTTAGAAGCAGGTCTTTCGCTGGTCGCTTAGGGAGAGGAGCCATGAGGCACACTAGAGTGAGTTCAGCTTTCCTTTCTTGTATGGTGGGTTAGGTAGCTGGTCCCATTCTCTTTGTGGGGTGGGGGGGGAGGAGGGAAAAAAAAAAAAAGGGAAAAAAAAAAAGGTGGAAAAGAGAAGAGGGGAAGGTGGAAAAAAAAGGCTGCTAAGTCAGATCTCAAGTTTTCTTCCTTCCTCTCCTATAATCTCCCTGCACTGTAGCTGTGGCTGCACAGGAAGCTGTATTCTAGCAATCAGAACTGTGCTTTAGGAGGAGCAGAGCACAGGAGAGGAGGAACAGCAGAGGAGAGAAACACATTCTTGACCGTCCTTGTTACGGAGCATGAAGAACATGGGAGACCACTCATTTAGAAAAGCTGTCCTCCACCCTTAAGCAGCTGTTCTGGTTTTATGCTTTGCCATCTAGGGTTTGAACAGCTCAGGAAGCCACAGATGTTTGACTTTGATTCGCGTACTGAGACAGATTTGAAGGGCTGATCCCTATTCCTGATGTCAGAGCCCTTTGGCTAAGATTGCCCTGACGCAAAGCTTATTCCCAGCTCGCAGTTCACTAAGGAGCAACGTTCTTGGTACGTGTCAGATCTGGCACTTGGTTCTCAGTGATTTATGACCACTTCCTGTGTTTACAGTTTTTTGTCATGGCTGAGGACATGGGATTTACTCGGAATCATGATAATTTTCTGTGAACTGTAAGTAATCCCCGACACAGATATTTTAGAGAAGAATGCACCTTTGTTTCATGGCTTCAGAAAGCTACTAAATTAGGCAGAAACAAGAATAGCATTAATACAGCACAGCTGAGATCAGTTGTTCTTAGTGTGTTCCCTGGCATGGTATGAAAACAATTCTTCTGAGCAGAGGGATACTTCTGTGTTACTACATCATTAGATTTCTCTGTATTCTGGTCCTGCCAGGGCATCCCCTCCATTGCTTTTATGCAAATAATCCAATGTGGATCTGCTACTGGGAAAACATGGTGATGGGAATAGTGAAAGCAACCTGTTCTACGCAAAAAAAATAAGGAGTTGACATGAGGTTTGGTTGGAACCTAGCAGCCCTTTGCCCATAGCCCCTGCAGGGCCCAGATGTGCCTTTCCTCTGTCAGGGCCGTCATGGTCGTGGTGGATGCTGCACCGAGGAGCCAGCCGGAGCTGGGACTTGCTCGCTTGAGTCTTATGCTCTGAGACAGGCTGGGGGGGGGAAGTGTTTATTCCAGTTTCCTTTCTTCCACGATGTTGTCCTCTGCTTTGCTCTGTGCTTCTTTCTCGGCTCGTCCCTCCTCTTTTCAGTCTTCTCATGTTCTCACTTCTATTTCATTTTAGCGTATTCTTTGCTACCTTCTTCCCCCTGCCCCCATACAACTTTAATTATTGAGGAAGTATATTGTCTTCACTCTGTCTGCTTACTTTACTGTCTTTATCTCTCTTCTCTATCTTGTATCATGTTTTAGTGTTTTTTTTTTTTTTTTAGCTCATAATGCCCTGTGGAGCTAGAACTCTTTGCTAGTTAACAAAAATTATTTTTTAATGTATTAATCAGATATTGATGCAGTTCTTTAAACAAACTACTTAATCACGCTTTTCATGTTAATGCCAAAGGAACAAATAAAAATTATTTGTGTTGTGTTTATAAACAAACTAATAGAAAATAAATCTAAATATTGAGATATTTATTCTTTCCCCCTTTTGTGTATGGTTGTTTGTTTGTTTTTCTTCTGCTATAATACTTTTGGAAACAAGTTTTAACTTGAGAGATTTAAATTAATCACTTACAGACAAAATGGAAAGGGGGAGTTAACTTTGCCTGAAATTGTTCATGGTCCGATGCTGGAGAACTCATGCAAGTCAAAATGCAACTGTGTGGGAATGTGTTGAGG